AGATCCAATCAGATTAGATCAGATCAGATCCAATCAGATCAAATCCAATCAGATCAGATCCAATCAAGAATTATTATTATTATTATTATTATTATTATTATTATTATTATTATTATTATTATTATTATTATTATTATTATTATTATTATCATTATTATTATTATTATTATTATTAAAAATGAAAAAGAATAAACTTTAGAAACAAGTTAAATAAAAAATTCAGAAAGTAATCCTTAATTATTAGACATCGGAAAATTTATTTTTAAAATACATTGACAATGTCAATCTAATTCTACTTTTAAAATACATTTCTAATGCTACCTGTAATTTGAGTTTCTAAAATTTTGATCTTTTACTACATCGAGGTGATCAACTTTGGTCATGACTTAAATAAAATTTACATTTGATATTCATATACGAAGTATATTTTCATTATTTTGTGTAACTGAAATAACTATTATATCTATGGTGTTATATTAATCATAAAAAAAGATTCGTAGTATAAAGCACACACTCATATTTTATAAGGATGAGATATTTTAATAAAAATACTGTCTCTTCTCTATATTGATTATCTAAATTTAATTACTTTTTAATGCATATATGAATTAAATATTTATTATAATGTATATATGAACTAATTATTAAAATACTAAATCAATATTCTTCTTTCATAAAAAAAATAATCATAAAATTTATATGAATTGACTAATTTTATTTCATTAAAAATAATCATAAAATAAAAAATATTGATTATATTATAATATGAATTATCATTACAATTTTCAAACGTTATTATAAAGTCAAATCAAATAATGGATTTGAATTTTAAATCAAATCATAATTAATCAGATCAGATCAGACCAGATCATATCCAATCAGATCGAGCCAGATCAGATCCAATCAGATCTAATCATATCAGGTCCCATCAGATCATATCAGATCAGAACTACAAAAAATAAGAACAGATCAGAAAAATAAGTTGAACGGAACGAAGCCTAAGTTGCTAAGTATGGCATGTGACAGTGCGTGGCATGCAGTGTGCGCATTGTTTGGATCGGGTGAGAACGCTCTTAGATAGAGAAATGAGAAGGATGCATTTTTCATCCATCACGATGCACATTTACATTATCATAGTCATTTTTTGTAGTGGCATAAAAGTTCAACTTATTTACTGAAATGCCACCACATTTTTCTAGGATTTTGCATATTTTTTATTTTTATGACCCTTAGATTATACTCTCTAATGCATCACATGCATTCTTATTTTTTTCCACTAGATTTCATTCTCACTCAATCTAAAACATACACAGACACACACACATATGTGTGGGGGTTAGTTTAGGTAAGAATATCCTTATTGTGTGAATATGAGAATGATGTACTTTTAGGGGGTGTATTCAATCGAGATTTTGTAGTATTTTTTTTGGATTTTAAAAGTCTGTGGGTATTTAATTGAGATTTTAAGAAATAATTTAAAATCTGTAGGTATTCAACAGAGATTTTAAATAATCTTTCCAAATCTAATGATATTGAAAAAATTATAGATTCTGAAAGATTGTTATAAAATATGGAATGTGAAGGATTTTAGGCTTGAGGTATAAATAAAAATTTTGTTTTCAAATCCAACCAAAAGCGTACGGATTTTGTGTGGACTCCAAATCTGCCAATCTTTCTCTTCTTCCCGCACACTTCTTCATCTTGGCCGGTCATCTCCTCCCTCGATCTCCCTCTTCAACAGCTCTGGATGGAAATTAAGGATGACGGTGGCGCCGGCCTAAGGTTTTGACCGCTTGGACGGTGGCGCCGGCCTAAGGTTTTGACCGCTTGGACGGTGGCGACGTCTCCGAACCGGGAGACATATCCAAAAAAATGAAGGGTGAGAACGGAGGGGGAAGAAGAAGAAGAAGGATAGATTGAGAGATTAGACGCAGGTGAAAGAAGGTGGAGAAGAAAAAGGAAGGTGGATAAGAAAAAGGAAAGAGGGGAGGAAGAGGAGGAAGAAAAAGAACAAAATTAAAAAAGAAGAAAAATGATGAGACAAAAGATGGAGTAAAAATGCATAGATCTGCACTAGTGGAGAAGAAGAAGAAAAAAGAAGAAGAAGAAATAAGAAAGCAAGAAGAAAAAAAGGAGAAGAAGCAGAGGAAGAGATTTGGTCATTTGGACGGACAAACCCAGAAAGAAAGAGTTGTGCAAAAAAATGAGGAAGGAAGAAAGAAAGAAGGAATAAAGGAAAAAGAAAAAATAATTTGTAGATAATAAACAATCAAAGAGAATCCTATAAAATCATGTTGGAAAATACATCATAATCTATCTAATTCTACATAGACTTAAAATAATTTTTTGATTTTATATAATCCATAGATTCTAAATAATCTACCAAAATCTTTTAAAATCTGAATTGAATACACCCCCCTTAGACTGTCGCGTGATGCATTTTAAACTTGTACTTTTTTAATTTGTTTTCTTTAAAGATTGAAAAAATAAATTTATATGTTTAAAAAAACATCAAAAGTTTTTCAAAATAACAGATAAAAAAGTATTTTATTTTATAAAGTAATCAATGAAAACGTAGAAACAAACAAAAGTTCTCGTAATTTTTAAATAGTGAACTATGACATTTTTAGAACGGATAAAGTATCATCAATATATGAAAAAGTACTTATATTTGAAATACTCTCTTCAACGTCTCAAAAAGATTATCATAGTTTGAGTTTTTTTGGTCAAACTGTATAATACATTGACCACAATATAGAAAAAAATTAAAGTAGGAGTAAAGTATAAAAAAGATACCAAGATAGGAGTTCAATATTTTTATCCTCAAAACATGAATTAAAATACATATACAATGCCAATCATTCCAATCTACAATGCCAAAAAGTATTATCAAATGTCCTAAAATAAAATTATAAAAAAATTATTTTGTTACTTTCTCTATGTTACTCATATTTAGAGCAATTGCTTCACTAATAATGAAAGGAGCTGAATATAGTTATTACATAAATTTAGTAAAATAAGATTACTTTTAAAATACAGTATTGATATATCAAATTTTTATACTCCGTAACATTTAATTATTTATAATTATATTTAATTTATGATCAATGTGTGCTGAACAATTTGACCAAAAAAATCAAATTGTGCTAACCTTCTCACGACAAAATTAAAGGATTATATACGAGTACATAACAAAAGATAATGAAAAGGATGTTATACAGACACCATTTTAATAGAAAAAATTTCTCAAGATGGGAGTAAAAAAGTTTGAAAATACCAAAATAGGAATCTCATGTCTTTTAAGACTAAAATAGAAGTAAAATGACAGTGTGGTGTAAGAACACGCATTGGCAGTGTGATAGAAAAGTGATGAAAATGTAATATGTCAATGTGATAAGTCGGCGATCTACATCGGTTCTCCGATGGCCGGCGGCAAAGGATGTCAGTGTGGCGTTTATAATGTGACAGTTACAATGTGACAATGTGGTGAGTGTGATAGTGTACAAATGGCAGTGTGAACTCCTATTTTGGTCTTGAAAGACTTATGATTCATATTTTGATATTTTTATAGTTTTTTACTCCTATTTATTTCCTCCAGCCAGAATCATGCTTTCTACAAACGTAAGAAGGTAGAGAGAAGTAATACTCTCACCCTTCTTGAGTATTTATCCACTTTGCATTTTTTTTGAATTTTAATCTCAAATTAAATAAACATAATACTCCCTCCGTCCCATAAAACTGTTCTTTTGAAAAAAGGCACACACTTAAAATGAGTAACTTTGATGTTATTTCCTAATTTCGCTCTTACTTTATGCTCTCTCCGTACCACAAAATATTTCTTGTTTTGATTTTTAAGGGATTTAGGTCTCGTTCCGTTCAACTTATTTTTTCTTATTTTTTCTTATTCTTATTAAAATCAGATCAGATCAGATTAAATCCAATTAAATCAGACCAGACCAGATCAGATCCAATCACATCAGACCAGACCAGATCAGATCCCATCAAGAATTATTATTATTATTATTATTATTATTATTATTATTATTATTATTATTATTATTATTAAAAATGAAAAAGAATAAACTTTGGAAACAAGTTAAATAGAAAACTGAGAAAGTAATCCTTAATTATTAGACGTCAGAAAAATTATTTTTAAAATACATTGACAAAGTTAATCTAATTCTACATTTAAAATACATTTTTATTGCTATATGTAATTTGAGTTTCTAAACTTTTGATCTTTTATAAGGATGAAATATTTTAATAAAAATACTATCTCTTCTCTATATTGTTTATCTAAATTTAATTATATATAAATTAAATATTTATTCTAATGTATATATGAACTAATAATTAAAATACTAAATCAATATTGTTATTTCACAAAAAGAATGTTCATAAAATAAAAGTTATTATTACATTATAATATGAATGGTTGTTTCTAATATATGAATTAACTAATTTTGTTTTATTAAACAATAATAATAAAATAAAAAATATTAATTATATTATAATATGAATTATCATTACAATTTTTAAATGTTATTATAAAGTCAAATCAAATTATTGATTTGAATTTTATATCAAATCATAATAAATCAGATCATATTAGATCAGACCAGACCAGATCAGATCAGATTCAATCAGATTATATCAGAACTACAAAAAATTAGATCAGATCAGAAAAAATAAGTTAAACGGAACAGAGCCTTAAGAGGAGTGTATTTTGGTGTTGATTTTGCAAAAATATCCTTAGATGTGGTAGCTAAAAATAGATGTGATGGATATATTAGTAGTAAAAAAGTGTGATGTGATAGGTAGGTTAAAAATTAGTACGAATGAAAATGACTTTTTAATAGAAGCAAGAAAAAAAATTAGGGACGGATAAAAAGAGAAAGGAGAAAAGTTTTGTGAGATGGAGTGAGTAATAGAGTAGGATGAGGTGCGTAGGATAGATGAATCATAATTAGAATTTTCTCAAGAATTACAAAGAGAACATTATATACTACAATTAATTATTAGGGATTATGCATCCTAAGTTAAGAATGATCGATGCTATAAACCTGAATTTGTATACACACAGATAATAATTTTCAAAGAACACACATAGTTTACAAATGATTTTTTGTACGTAAATTAACATACGATTATCATTTTTGCGAATAATTATTAATTACGCCCAGATGGCGAGGAGTGACATTAGGGCAGCTCCTAGTAAGAGAGAGACGTTAGCTCCCATTTGAAGACGCAAATTGTGTTGCATTCTAGCACTCATGAAATCTGCAGCGATGAGGTCAACGAGGGCCATGTATATCAAAATCCCCGCCGATGCCGAGTTCAAAATGCCCTCCACGATTAGGGCTGTCGGACTGCTTTCGTGGTAGATATTTGAGATCCCAAATCCTATTGCAATTCCGATTGGGGTCGTGAGGGAGAAGAATGTTGCCATTATGTATTTCGTTGCTCGAGCTTCAAATCGTGCCTGCATGCACCATATATATATAATCAAGTTTTTGTTGATTGATTTCACGAAATTTAAGAAAGTCCATAAAAAACTGATGCGCTTTGTATAGAAGAGAGACATATATATCGTGTCGCGTATTTATTTTCTAAACAAATTGAAGAAATGTAAATTTTTTTATTGAGAAAAGGACCAAATTAGGAGTAAAAATAGAGAAAGTTTCAAAATATAATTTTCATATTTTTTATTCTCTAATTAGGCGTACAATGCCAATAATATCAATATATACTACAAAAAATAAAGTGATATGTCATTATATACTGTTATAATGTCATAATGCAAACTCTTATTTTGAAAAAAAACATGAAATTTGTATTTTGAGAACAAATACTATGTTTTATTCTTATTTGGGGTAAAATCTTAATTTTAATGAAAATGAAATGGTAGATTATGATTAGTATGGGTGAAGTTTAATACTCCCTCCGTCCTTAAAAACCTTTATCCTTTCTTTTTTTATTCGTCCCAAAAAAAACTTTTTTTATTTCTATTAAAAAGTTGCTTGTACTCCTACTAATTCTTAACCTATTTGTCACATCATATTTATTCACTATTAATATACCCATTAAATTCTACTTTTATCTATAATATCCAAAGACAATTTTATCTATACCTTTACCTTCTTCAAAATGAGAAAAAAAAACAGTTAAATATAATTGGAATCGAGAGTATTCACTATATTTCTTACTAGAGAACAACAAATATACCTCAACAATGCAGCCCCCAAGTCCCATGCCTTCAAAGAGTTGATGGAAGGTCAAGGCCACGACAAGAGGTTTGATTGTATTTGCTGATACGGATGCACCCAAAGATATCCCAATTATTACCGAGTGAACTACGATCCCCAATTCCAACACCTACATATCCAATTTCATAAGGCTAAAGAATTATTACTATTAAAAATCAGTTTAACATTTTTTTTTTTTTGCAAAAAAATTAGTTTAACATTGATATGATCAGAAAAACCAATATATAAACTTTTTATATACTCATTCGTCTACAAATTTGACTTTCTGGGTCAAAATTTTTAAATATTGATCACAAATTAAAAAAATATATGTATATTGAATTGTCATATAAATATAATGCAAAATAGATTTATTTTGAAATATTTTTTTTGAAAAATTATATTTTTATAATATATCTATATATAAATAGAAATTCATAAAAAAAAACAATAGAAATACGAACAGTTAAAAGTGTTACTCCGGGGTAAATTGAAAAACGTAAAAAATTAAGTTAAATTTGCACTAAATAGGACTAAAACATAACGACTTTCCAAATGTAGGACTTAAACTTTTTTATTCCCTAAATAGGATTTAATAATGACCTAGTGGAAGAATAATGTCCAGTAATGATGGACATTTACTTGAATAATGACTACTTGATAATGACCAAAAGTCCTACATTGGGAAATAAAAACATATGGTCATATATTGGGAAAGTTATTATCTTTTAGTCCTATTTAGGTAAATTTCTCAAAAATTAAATGTGAATATGCACAGAGAAGTATGTATCTTATGTTTTCATGGAGTTTAAAAAAGGTGTGAAATTGTAATATTGTATGGTTGATTTCCAAACACAATTGAAAATGTATGTTTTTACAAATAGGAAAGAAATACTCCTCCGTCCAAAAAAGGATATATTCCCTATTCAAACAAGTAATAAAAATAGAACAAAAAAAGTTTACTTAAAATTTAATAAAGTTATTGTGATCAAAAAAGTTTTTTAAAATATTACTCTCTATTATTTAATTCAGTTTAGTTCAAATAAGTGTAATTAAACAAGTCAATAGTAAAACTTTTTGAAACCATATATTAGGCCTTCAAATCATCAATAATTGAGATAGCAGAAGCATAGAACTAGTGATAAGCTGAAAAGGCTAAAGCTCGGAAAATATGTCGTACTTGTGAGATGACGCGCCCCCTTGTGATGTCGGACTCGCCGGAGGGTGACGGCAGCGAACCGTGGGCATGCCCATGGGTGGCGTGGGTATGAACCGGAACGGGATGCTGGCCCAACATCTCTTCATCGTTAACGGGCTTGGGCTTATTACAATCAGATTGGGCCCTCCTGTAATAGCTCGTCGCCGCCAAATCCACCATCATGGTGGCGATCGCCGCCAGCATGGCCACCAGGCCGGGGAAGGGGAAACCGCCCCACGGCTTCTCGGGCAGACACGGACTGCCCAAGCTCTCAAACGCGTCCGGGAGCACGTGGACGAACCCGGTGGCCAAGATCACGCCGGCGGCAAACGCCTTCACCAGGACGAACAGTTTACTCTCCGGCGAGAATGCCGGAAACGTCCTCCCAACCAGCGGCAGCGTGACGCCGGCCGCCCCGCTTGAGAGAATTGAAGCCACCGCTATCACCTTATACTTCAAGGCCTCCGACCGGTCTTGGCCCTCGGAGCGGCCGGAAACATAGCCGCAATCATCTCCGGCGGAAACCCCCAGAACCGGAAAAATGATTAAAAGAAAGAAGAAGAAGAACTTGCTCATGGGTAATTAATTAGGAAAAGACGAATGCAGTTGCAGAGCTTTCTTTACTTCTTTCTTACGGTGCAGGTTGAATGAAGGGACATTTTTATATATAGTGTGATTTTGGAATATGGTTTAAATGGAGTAGAAAGTGTGGGTAACATGGCGACATGCAAAGCCATGCAGTGTTGCAATTGGTGAGGGAATTTGACACGTGTACATTACTGGGGAATAATGTCGACATTATTTAGACTATTATTACTTTCCTTAATAGGATTGGAGTTAGCCAAAAAGAGGCTTTCTAATTAATTACTCCCTAGTCCCTCCCCTCCCCTAAAACAAATTTATAGTTTGACTCCTTTTACTCTCCGTCCGTTTTGTTTTTTAGAATATTTGATTTTTTTACGTTTACAATATAATAATACTTTAATAATTAGTATTTTCACTAATTTATTGATATATGTGCACGTATATATATATTACAAAACCACAATAATTTATTCTAAAATGAATTTTTTTTGAAACAAATGCGCACATATATATTTCTTAACATAAGTAGTAACTTGATACTTAACATAATCAATGCTATCAACTATATTCCCTCTCTTCCCTCCATGGATTATATTGTTTCTGGCCTTCCAAATAGCATAAAGACATGCCGCCAACAAAGCTGCTTTTAGCTTCCTCTCCCTCTTGTTGCTGCCCATCATGATTTTTCCTTCCATCTCCTGTTTCTTGCTTTTTTAAATGAATTTATTATTATTAATTTATATATATCATAATTATTTAATGTATTTTTCTATAATTTGTAGTTAAGGTTTAAAAATATCGACCATGAAAAGTCAAATGTGAAGAATCAAAGTAGACGGAGAAAATATATCAATTAAAAATGCACTTTGACCATTAAAAATTACCTCCTGTGTTATCTAAAAAATTCCCTAGTTTAATTTTTTTGGTCAATTGTGAACACACTTTGATCATTAATATATATAATTTAATTAGTAAATGCTACTCTGTATAAAATGTTGATATATAAAAACTAGTATATCTTAAAATAAATAAATCATATTATATTTTAAGGGTGGGCGCGGTGCGTGACAGTCCGTGATACTACCGGAACGCTTCCCTGAACTCTTTCTTCTGACGTCCTCGCCAAGAATGAGATCTCTAATCTGATCAAAGGTGAATCCATCGGGTCCCACTGAACTGGTAACCGCTGTAACCGTTCCGGACCAACTATCAGGCAAAGACGATAGCAGTAGCAAAACTTGAACTTCATCATCGAACTTAATCTTCACTGACGCAAGTCTGGTTAAGATCGAATTCATCTTATTGATATGCTCGGTAACAGAAGTGCCTTCTTTCATCCTTGTGTTCACCAGCTCTCTGATCAGAAAAACTTTGTTTGCCACAGATGGCTTCTCGTACATGTTAGACAGCGCTTCCATAATTCCCTTCGCTGTCTTCTCTTTCAGAATGTTAAACGCAACATTCTTGGTCAACGAGAGACGGATCACGGACATAGCTTTCCGATCCAAACCTGCCCAATCTGCACCCAAAATCTTTTCTAGCTTGTCACCTATTACCACGTCCAAATCTTTCTAAAGCAGCAAATCTTCAATTTGCATCTTCTACCAACTGAAATCTATGTCATCGAACTTCTCAATTCGGAACTTTCCATCTTCTGTCATATCAAACGACTAGACGAGATACCCGGTACAAAAATTTCAGATCTTGGTAATTTTGTCAGAAAAATCAAGCCCACTGCTCCAAATAAATCAGTCCAAATTAAAACCACAAGCTAGGCCCAAACCAAAACAAACCCAAATAAAGTGGCTGACCAATTAAAATCAAATTGGCCCACTGCCTACTTTTCCTTTCTTCGGTTTCGGTCCAGCCAAGGAAAACCCTTTCACTTTTTGCACCTGCCAATCAACCCTTTTTTTTCAATCGGCGGCGCCTGAAGTTTTGCTTGGCAATACCAGACGGTGGCAGCAAGCAATCGGCGGTTGTGCTCTCGCAGGACGACGGCGGCTTGGTCCTCTGTGCACAGTGCGACAGGCGACGGTGACACGATCTGGACGGGGGCGGCAGGACGGCGACGACTCCTCAACGCGGCGGCGGCGGCAGGTCTATCAGAGCGACTCTCCCTCAGCGGCTCAGACCTGCGCGCGGCTATCGGCGGCGGCGAGTTCAATCTCGGATCCGGATGGCTGCGACGACGGCTCCAACCACAAGTTTTCTCCTAATTTGTGCTGATGTTGAACAATCTAGCTCCGATCTCACCCTAAGATTTGAGTCATTGAGGAATTATTTTCATAGCAATATGCCATTTGGGGGGGAAATGAAGACAATCTCATCAATATGCCATTTTAAAAGGAATTTGAAGTTTTGGAAATGTTTTTAGTCTTATTATGCATGCGACGGCTCTATCTTTTGATTCTTTTCTGATTGAGGTTTTTAATGTATGTGTTGTGTGATTTTTTCTATAGTGGTTTGACGTTAAATTCTTGAAGAATGAAAGCAATTATTAAGAAAACAATGAGCCCCAAATTATTTGCTTCAACATTCCCTAATTAATTATGTGGGCGGATGTTATTTTAGGCTTTTTTCACCAAGAAAAGAAAATTAATATTCCCTCTGTCCACAAATAAACATTACATTGCGCGTTACGATGTTTGACTAAAATTATTTTCAAATCATTTTATTCGCAAAATGGTGTAGAATTAAAAAATAAAAATTACATATTAAAAAACTATATCAAAAGATCTACAAAACTAGAGGTGACATGACTATATTATTTTATCAAATAGGTGACGAAAATAGGCCAACAAAGTGAATAAAGTTTGACTCTGTAAATACTGAACGTAAAGTTTATTTGTGAACGGAGGGAGTACATGATACGGAGTACACTATATCTTTGTTTCTTGGAGTACAGTTCGAGGGTTTTATTTTAGGAAATTTAAGTAAATATCACTAAAACATAATAACATAATGACTTTTCTTAAATAGCATTACATGCGTTTTTTTCTAATTTAACACTTTTAGTCTTTATCCATTAATCATTATTCAAGTAAATGTTCGCTATCATTGATCATTATAGACATTATTAAATGCTATTTAAGAAAGAAAACAATTTAAATGCTATTTAGGAAAATGACCTAAGTTTTAATGCTATTTATTGTAAATATTTCATTTGTTTTTGGTGTGTTAGAAACAATTTTAGCATTTTACTAGAGTTTCTTTGACTGTCCTTTACACTTATTTAACATTTTGATCCCAATTTTTTTTCTTTAGAGATATGCTATTCGGTCCATCTATATCTTTGTATAGTAAAATGCACTTAGTTAATTGGGACATGCTTTACTTGATGCATTTATTGACAGAAGTGGTGTCTTGAATAATATACTTGTTGATTCACTTATGAGAACTAGAAATGATATATTCCCTGTCCTAAAATTAACTTTTCATTTGACTTTTCACGATCTCCAATGCGACACTTTGACCATTAATATTTCAATTTTTATATAAATATATTTTATAAAAATTATATATTTCAAAACTATGTTTCAAAATGAATCTATTGCTAATAAATTTATATGAAAATTCAATGTATTTTTTCCATAATATACAGTCAAAGTTTAAAAAGTTTGACTACAAAAATCAAATTGGGAAGTTAATTTTAGGACGGAGGGAGTACATTTCGTAGGAAAGCATAGATTTCATATGAATCTACAATTTATTTGCACAGAATTATATTCTAACCGTTATTTCACATCTTACTTGTTATGTAGCAGTCCACTCCTGCTCTCGGTGAGGTCATTCTCTTCAAGATCAAACATGAAAGAAATTGCATTCTTGTAAATTGTAATGGTCAACCTTTAATATTACTCTTTTCGTTATCTAAAACACTTTCTCTTTAATTTTTTTTTCCACCAAACTTTCACTTTCTATTAAAAATCATCTCATTCTAAGTTCTAACCACTCACCGTCAACACGTAACTGATTTGGGGGTTTCACAAATCTCAATTGAATTTTATTCTATTCTATGAATTCTAATTTGTAATGTTTTAAAAAAAACAAATTGGATTAATTAGATGGTTTGTTTTTTTTGATTTGCTGGATATTTGATTTTTATAAATGATAATCCTATACAATGATAAACTATTGGAGTTTGTAAATTTGGGGTTAATTATATACGGAGTACTATATTACCTAACAATTTAAACCAGAAATGAGATTAATATTTGTGAGCTCCCTATTTGTGTTTCCCTCATTAGAAAGATGATTTCTTCACACGTGAGATTAGTCATGTGACCTTTCTTTCACTAGTTTGTTCAGTCCATAGGGCAGAAAATGATTCATATGAGGATGCAATAACTCATTCCACGGGAACCCATGGAAAAAAGCTAATGTCAGAGGAGATTCTTTTGTTTCTAGAAAAAAAAAAAGATGCAGAAGAAGCCTGATCTTGAAAATGAAGTCACTGTAACTGTATGAGTATTACCTTTAGAACATTGGCAGTGAAGGTTTATTTATTTATTTTTTTGGTTTAGTTCATATGCTCTTTGTTTGTTTTCAATAAGGAACTTTTTAAAAATTACATGTTCCAATGTTATTCAATTTGCCTTCACTAAAATTACAACTTTTTAAATTTGCCTTCACTATGTTTTGAACGAAAGAAAGGATATACTCAATCCGTTCTCAAAAACTCTTCCTCTTTCATTTTTTTTACTTCCAACAAAACACTTTCATTTTCTATTAAAAAATGACTTTTACCTTACTTTTTCATACGCTATCTATCACATCATATTTTTTCTCTAATACTCAATCCATCACATCTTACTTTTACACATCACATCAAGGGCAAAATTGGAAGTCAACTACAATTTAACACTTCCTTATTTCTACACAAAGTCAAAATAGGAACATTTTTATAGAACGGAGGGAGTATAACATTGGAACATAGTACTAGCCTCATGTTATTAAAGCATATTTTAAAGGTTAGTGGGTTCCCTTGGAATGTTATTAAATACGGAGCATGTTATACTAGCCTCTAGTATATATTGACTAGTACTGTATTTTAACATGTACCATGCATGGGATGGTACAAAATTGTTTGTGATTCTATAATATGAAATATTAAAATGACTTTGTTTTTTTATGAGACATATCATTTAGATATCAAATATAAATGATCTAGTTTTATTGAATTTATATAAATATATACTTTTTATTCCCGTATAAATTTAAAAAATACAAAATATAGTAGTGATTCTATGAATCTTTTCCCCATCATAAATTTTAAAAAGCTTGATGAATTGCCAATCTTATGATTCTACAATTAAAAAACATGATTTTTCTCCCGCACATTAATTGAGATTAGCAAAAAAATGATTTCCCCCACCCCCGCATTGAATACAAAAATTGATTCATCTCTACTGCATTATTTATAAATAAAATATTGGATTAGCGATCCTATGACTCTATTATTAAAAATATTCATTTTGAAAAAAAATTAAAATACAACAATTCTTCTCCCCCGCATCAATTTTGAAAAAAAAATATTAATAAAAAAGTAGTGCTACAATGATTCTCAAGGGAAAAAGAGAAAGATTAAAATAGAAATAAAATATAAGAAAATAACCAAAATAGAATCTTTATGTTTTATCTGCAAAATAAGAACTATGATATCAATGACCACATATAATACAAAATTACAATTAAATGTCAATATACAGTGTCACATTATATTGCAATAGTACCATTTTGTAGATAAAAACATGTGACTCTAATTTTGTCATATTTTTTACTTCTATTTTTGGTTGATTTCAGAAGGGAAATTTACAAAAAAATTAATATTTTTTATTCTTTTTATTATTTTTTGCTTTAAAATGCAAAATCATTCAAACGCATAGTAGCATTCTGATCAATACAAAATGTTCTAACAAAATATATAAATAGTTGCAAATTGGAAATTATATTTTTCTTTGATGTGCTTTGCATCGAAGTTTTGATCTTATTCGTTTTTGCACCTTAGATCTTCTCCGCACTTTTTCTTGCTTTATTTATTGCCTTTACACCCATCTTCATTGTCACATACCTTCTAGCTTGTCACTCACCTCCACATCTTGATCTTCCTTATCATAATTTTTTTGCATACATTTGTGTCGTCTCTCTCTGTCTCATAAAACACTATCGTATGTCGTTTCTATATACAATCATGCAAATGAAAGTGTAGGAATGAAGCGAGTCCCCTCTCATTCAAATTTTCTTATCTTCATGCATAAATATAGTGAATACTTACACAATATAAATTTATAAATATTAAGTTACACCTTAGGAAAATGGTAAGTTAAAATACAAACTTATTTTGATTAAAATAGTAAGTCGAATTACCAACATAAAATACAAAATTCATATTAAATATTTATTTGATTTAAATACTTGATTATTTTAAATAGTAGTGAAAGCATTTCTTGTTTTATATAATTTTAAAATAGAGATTAAAATATATTTTTTTATTTTACATCAATGTTTAAATAAATAGAGTAAAAATTAAACTATCTTCATTTCGGCATATCATAAAAAAATATGAAACTTACTCAAAGTATTATTATAAATGAAGTAAAAAAAATAATATTAAGAAAAATGAAGATCTCTATTCTACATTTAAAATTTATCAAAGATGGTGAAACGGTAAGGAATGCTTGTGTAAACATAAGAAGTCATGGTGACACATTTGTTTCTAAATTGTATTCCGTAATCTTTTAATATAATAAAGGAGACTCAAATGTATAAATATCAAATTTTAAAAGTTACCTTAAACTATTTTCTAAAAATGGTCAATGATTATAACAAAGTTTCCATAAATGAAGTCTTTATTTTAGGAATGATTTTAGATTCACTTAATGTGTACAGTCATCATTGACGTGTCAAAAAAGCTCCACATAGACATTCTACGTGTCAAGCTCTGGTCATCCGAGTCTGAAATATTATATTAAAGGATAAAGGATACTGTGAATTTACACAATATAAATTTATAAATATTAAGTTACACATTAGAAAAATGGTAAGTTAAAATACTTTTATAGTTCAATCATCCCTTATTTTATACTTTCTCCGTTCCAAAGTATATTTCCTATTCGAGCGACGTGCAAAATCTCGTGAATTTTACAATGATTTTGTTTACAAATTGGTATATAAAATAAAAAAATTAAATATTTAAAAATTATATCAAAAGTTCTATAAAATAAGAGGTGAGAGGTGAAAAAGTGTTTTATTTTATCAAATGATCAATGAAAACATGCAACCTAACAAAAGTTATCAAGATGCTGCAATAATAAAGAGGTAAATTATTTTGAGACGGAGCGAGTTAAATTTTATTATAGTTTTTAAAATATTTTAATTTTTAAAGTTTAAATCAATATTTAAATAATAAAATCAAAACTAACTTCATTTAAACATCTCATAAAGAAATATGAAATTAATTAAGAGGTGAAGAAAGTATCTAATTTATTATTTTGAAATTTTGTTATAAATGAAGAGAAAAAATATAAATTATGAAAGAATATTATCACATAAATGAAGATATTTTTTCCATAATAAATTTACTCATTGATTTCAAACCAAATTATTACTTTATTATTTTCCATGTCACAAATTGTGTGGCATATTAAGTTTCAAAAAACGCCATATAAACAATTTATATAGCATGTCGACAAAAGTAAAAAGTGCAGAATTTAAAAAAATCAGCAACTTTAAATCAAAGTACTTGCAATTTCAGCTTCAAGAGCATCTAAATCAGCCTATGGAGCATGTATCAACGAAAACCAACAAACAAAGTGCATAAAATAATGTTCAAAATGCATATTTTTCAAGAAACGGTACCGGAATCTCACAAAATAGCATATTGACAATCAAAGTTAAGCACAAATGCAAACAAAGTTGTTTGATGTCAGTTTGTTCTCGTATGCATATCCTTAATTCTACCAATAGGCATGTAAAATAGATTAAAACTCAAGAATGGAGGCTACTACAGCATGCTTACTAAAAAACAAAGAACACAATGGCATACTAAAGTGATTTCATACAAAACTTTCCCCGGCAACGGCGCCAAAATTTGTTGGGGACTTGTCGTGCGGTCCAAAACAAATTAAAAAAATTATAAAATATCCTTAACTAACCCCCAAAATATAATCAAATAAAAACTATAGCTAGGGCAAATAAGGGTCGATCCCACGGAGAAAGTTTGTACTTTTGAAATCAAAATAGCATGCAAACACGTTGTCACTTAAAAAAATAAAAATTAACTACTACACATATGATAAAACTTATAATAAAATCTATAACTATATAAATATAAAAACTTATAAATAACTTATATAAACAAAGAACTTATAATATAACTTATAAAAACAAAACAAATACCTAAGTATATAAAAGTAAATAAAGTATAAAAACGTATATTTATAACTTAAAACACAAAGGGGGGGGGGTTGGATGAAAAGTAAGTATTTTTTGGTTTTTTATATTTTTCTTATTTTTTTGGTTTTTTTGATAAAAATGGGGAAACAAGCTCAAAAGATAATCAACTTCTCCAACTAAGGTAACCCAAGAAACACCGCCAAGAACCCGAAACAAAATAAAAGAGAGAACGAACACAAGTTGAACATTACACGTATAATAGGCACGTAGACAATATNCTCAAACAATGATTCCAAAAGATGAAAAAGTTTATAAAAGAGCGAATCTTTCTTTCATTCTAACTCCCATGCACAAAGTATTCATGAAGAACATTTGATACACTTTAATAAACTTTAACGTCTAATGATGAAAATATTTTGCAGGTCTCCTTGAATAACTCAAGCATAAGAATTGTAATCTATTCACATAAGAAAACATTACATATTTTCAAAAACTTAAAAATTGTTTTTGTGCTTAAACAACCTTAAATTTTATGAAAATCAACACAAAACAAACGAACAACATAACAATCACTTCATAACGAATCTTAAGGAAAATGTCCAACTTATGTGGCTAAGAAGTCCAAAATCCTTATAATTTTACAAAACACATAGCACAACGAAGAATCACGTATGAATTCGGAAATCATTTAACTATAATATGGAGCTAAAATAGCTTCAATGAGAACCAAATTCTACATACCAACCTACTTATGAAATCAAACCGTGCGATTCAACCAATTCATCAACAATTTGCACAATAATTGAAGAAAACTAATATGAATCAATTTTCATTCATAAGGGATTTAATATAAACATTAAAAAAACCCATAAAAGAACACCAACCATTTTGTTATAAAATTTTTGGAACAAACTAACAAACAAAAAATGTAAAATTAAACTAAAAACAACACTTTTACATAGAATTGGAGGAAAAATAAAAATTGACAAATAAGGGTTACCAAATGTTGAAGAAGATGAAGAACTTCAAGAAAATTGGAGCTGGAGTAGGTCCCTACCGCTGCCGCCACCTGCCATCGTAGAACGCCGGCGGGCCGTCGTTGGCCGCCGTCTGCATCTCCGCCGGTGGGTTGCGTCAATAGCAGCGGCAAGAGCCGCTGCTCTGTTATTTCGGTGCGATTCCCCTCTGTTGTTCCCTTGAATTGTGCAATTTACCTTCAATTTATAGGATAGTAGGAGCAAGGAGCCTTTAATTTCTTCCCGTTGAGAATTGATTGTTGCGAATCGAACGGAAGAACGTTGGAGGAGACGTTAGAGATTTGGTCCTCAGCCTTGGGCTTTATCTTCGTCGTTGTCGTTCTCCAGCGCAATGTAGGAGTAGGCTTATTTCTTTTTTCTTTCGTTGCTGGAGACAAAATAAAATGGATGAGAGTGGGCTGATTTCTTTTGGTGGTGGGTTTGGGTTCCAGACCAAACTTAAACACTGTTTTGGTCTTCTGCTATATTTTTCTCCAAAAAAAAAGATATCTAATAATTTTGGGTTAGGGAAAATAATACAATGAAGAAAATAATAAAATGATTAAAAAGCTACTATTTTTGAAAGAAAATTAAAAGATTGTAAAAATGAGAATTAAAATAAAACTAAGCTAAACAACTAAAAATTAAACACTAAAAATATTAAAAATGCCTAAAATTGAATAAAAAGTACTAACCCAAACCCGAGTTATCATTAATACTTAGGGAGAGACTACTTACAAGATGCAGGTTGAAAAAATTTATAAATATTGATACTAGATGGGGGCTTTGTAATCAAAAGGAAGTAAATTTTATTCATCTTTTTTGGAATTGCACCATAGCCAACAAAGTGCATCAACAGATTTTTGCTTGGCTTCACTATAAGATTGATGCTAATGACATTGAAGGAGTTGAAAAGGGGCTTATGAATGTGAAACCTAGAAAGAAGAGATGGATGGCATTTGCTGGATGGGCAGCCAGCTGCTATTTCATTTGGAGGATGAGAAGTGGCAGACCACACCAGAAATTTTACACGGAAGAGGCAACCATTGAAGAGATTAAAAATCATCTTAAAGTTTATAATCAACATTGAAAGAACAGTATAATCAACATGCAAGCTCTATCCCTCACATTCAATCCTCTTGCCATATGCTCTATTTGCATATATCCCCTACCTATTCATGCTTCTCTCTTATCCTATACTCCCCCTCGGTTCGTATATAAACTTCATAATATGACTTCATGAGTCTAAGAAAAGTGTTAAAAAGTAAAAAGTGTGTGATTTAAAATTTGTTTAGAAGAAAGAGAAAACATTTGAGCCTTATGTTCAATTATTTAAAAGAAAATGGAGAAATGTAAAGTTTATTGTGAGAACAACAAAAAAGAAAGTGTAAAGTTTATTTTAGAACAGGTGTATATTCATCCTTGATCACTTGAAATGAATAAGTAAAAAGCCTGCCACATAAAGAGTGAAGCTCTTTCATCTTCCATCCTTTTCCTGCAAATTCTAAGGACAAGAAAAATGGAGAAGCGGGGAAGGGGCATATTTTCATGAACATTTTGGTTAATAGATTGGGATTTTACCACTTCGACGCTCCCTTACAGCAGTTTGTTCCTTGAAAATTTCACCAACTGGCTTCAAAACTCAATCTAGAAGTATCAGAGACCACTCACAAGTAATCACAACGAATAACTGATCATTTCCTAATAAATTGTAGACTACAACACTAATAAAATTAAATAACACACCATCTATCCCAAAACAAAACTATGAATATCACGTGGTGAACATGAACAACCTTCCCATTTAGATTGTGTGATGTTTAATGTGGAACAGGAGAGTATTTTTCTTCAAATGTTTAAAAAAGAAATAGTCAGTAATGCATATATAATCAAGTACACGAGAACAACAATCAATCCTTAGAACCATAATTCATTTATTAGCAACTTGGCCAAAATCAGTACATATTTTGTAGCCCACACCATTTTATAGGGGCAATACAATAGGTTGTACTTGCTTTAGAACAAACACACACCTGGAACAACATCAAAATAAACTCCTGTCTTAAAAAATTTGCCTATATCTCTTCTTTGATCTCCCTGACTGTGATGTCAAAGAACAGCACTCTGTAATCAAGCATAAACATACATGTCCATTGAAGTGCTAAAGAGTTCATTTGTAAAAAAAATTATCAGACCAGTGACTGAGGGCATGATTAATCCCTTTACGCTTTGGGTATAGTTTCGCTCCGGCTTTCCACTTTGGGTATAGTTTTGCTCTCCCTTTCCACATTGGGTATAGCTTCGCTCCCGCATTCCTCCTTCCGTTGCTGCTCTAGCATTTTCTTATTCTTCTCCAAGGCAGCAGCAACTTCTTGCGACATATACTTCTCATCGTGCTTAGCCAGCACTTCTGAAGCCTCAAAATAACAGTTTCCACTTCTGGCCTTCTCTGTGATCATGGACTTGTTCTCTCTCAACATCCCCTCATCCTTCTTCTTCATCTCTTCTGTGTACGGCTTTATAAACCCCTCTACAACAACATAATGACCCTCCCGGAAAAGATCCGGCAGCGATCCCTCGTATCTTACCAAAATGTCAGTTATTAAGTCGGTCACCATGAACTCCATCTCTAGAGATGAAGGAATCTGCTCCACACTGCCCTCCAATACCAGCGCGCCGAGCCTGATCTTTGACCTGGTGGGGTTCGCGGTGTACTTTGCTAACGCATCCGTCGGGGTCACATAGAAAACGAGCTGGTCTTGGAACTGGTTAAGAATGATGATGATAAATCCAGCAATGCAGCTTAAGGATAGGGCGTAAGTCCAGAGACGTCGTGTCTGCATCTGCCTGGCCCGAGCGCCAATATCTGGCCGGGCTGAGCGATGGGGACGGCTCGGACGGCTCAGGGTGGATAAGGATCGGAAAAATAGGGTGCCATGGGAGAGCGCATGGGATGGATGGGAATGGGATTGGAGAAGAGAGACTAAAAGAAGAGATCTTGGAAACCTGGTGGCTGCGGCGGCACTAGAAGTGGCGGCGGCGGCGGTACTAGAGGTGGTGGCGGAGCGGAGGAGCCTAGAGGCCAAGCGAGATGTGAATCGGATGGCCATGTCGAGATCGACTTGTAAATTCGGAAATTGTTTAGAGTCATAAATCAAGGAGTAATTTATTATGTAAATAATAAATTTTCCATTCCTAGAAGTGTAAGTCAGACATTTTTTTCCTCACAGTGCAAGACGGATTTAGCTACTCCGTTTTGAGTCAAAAATTTTAAGTAAAATGGAGTAGCCTAATCCGTTTCAATTATTTAATTACAAAACGGATTAGGCTAATCTGTTTCACTATTAATTTTTTTAAAAAATTAATTTAATTACAAAACGGATTAGCCTAATCTGTTTCACTATTAATTTTTTTTAAAAAATTAGTTTAATTACAAAACGGATTAGGCTAATCCGTTTCACTATTATTTTTTTAAAAAATAATTTTTAGTAATGCATGGAGCTCATAGTTGTTTGTTCCAATTTATTTTTTTCTTTTAAACTATTTTAGTTATTTTTAACTTCACTTATATTAATTTTTTTAAATGGAACAGAGTAAATGATGAATTAGAGTCAAACGGAGTTGGCTACTCTGTATGATTTTTTTTCAAATTTTTGTTCCGTTTAAACTTTAATTGTGTATTTCGGTAATGTATGTAAACTAGTTATCTGTAGCCATTATATTTCGTATTTTCTATTTATTTTTCACTCTCAATTAATCATGTTTTTCTCACTCACAACAAACCACCCCCACTAACTACCCTTTCACACTCCCACCTAACCATTTATTTTGCCTCTCAATTAAATATTTTTTCCCACTCCCACCTAACCAATTATTTTCCTTCCAACTAACCCCTCCCAACTACCAATTATTTCCCCTTTCAACTACCATGGAACTGTTGTTGATTTACAAACAATGGCAACTGATTCACCAACTTCTTTTCAGTTCAGGTATGTATTCTGGTCCTTCAGGGCATCCATAGATGGATTTCACTATTGTCTTCCTGTTATTTCAGTAGATGAAACTCACTTATACGGCAAGTATAAGGGATGTTTATTACTTGTCATGGCAACGACAGGAAATGGTGAAATTTTTCCCCTGGCTTTTTATATTGTTGATTCTGAAGATGGTTCAAGTTGGAAATGGTTCATGACGAATGTTATGCGTCATGTTGTTCCCCCACATCGCCGTGTATGCATAATATCTGATAGACACGTGGGATTGAGCATGCATTTGAAAATGTGCCAGAGTTAGGTGGAGGTCAAGTGACTCGAATATATTGTCTCCGCCACATACGCAGCAATTTCTGGAATAAGTTCCGAAGTAAGAAGTTGCGGACCTTGATGTACAAAGCTGGTGAGGCCCCGAACAGAAGTGATTTTGACCAGTTCCTACTCCAAATAGCATCCAAACATCAAGAAGCCTACAACTGGCTTAATGTCATTCCAAAACAAAAGTGGGCTTTGTCACATGATGAAGGTGGGGCACGTTATGGTATAATGACTACAAATTCCTCAAAAAGTTTCAATCATGTCCTTAAAGGATGTCGTTGTTTGCCAGTATATGCCATTGTGCAGTTCACCTATGATAAGCTGGTAAAACTTTTCGCTGAGAGGCGAACCAATGGATATGTATGGCAGCAATCCGGGTACAATTTTTCCTATGAATGTTTGGAAACATATTAGGAAAAATGAAGAAAATAGGTTGTATTGTCGTGTTGTGCAGCACCACGCACAAGCAAGGATATACTCTGTGGTGGTGGATGGGTCGTCCTACATTGCGCAGCGGGAGACATTTTCGATGAACTTAAATGCACGAACATGTAGCTGTGCTAAATGGGTTACATTTCACGTCCCGTGCAATCATGTCCACGCAATATGTCATTACTGTAGTGTTACCGTGGACCATTTGATTCTAAATGTTTTTTCAATTCAGTCTTACATCAATGCTTACTCTGGCATCATTATGCCGCTATCAGATGAATCCGAATGGCCTACTCCAAAGTACGAGATCCCGAGACCAACGCCACGATAGACCACACGAACCGGCCGACGTACGAGAACCTGCTATCAGAATAATATGGACTATCGACCACGGAGACATCGTAACGAGGAATAGCTGTATCATTAAGTTCAATTATATCTGAGTTTATGGATTATTAGATTTTCCAAATAAGTTTGTCATGGATTATGTTTTGGCTTCTTCTTTTTATGAATAAATTGTTATGTGCACTCTAGTAATAAAATTATTAAATTACATCTTCTTTATGTATGTTTCATTTATTTTGTAATTAATTTACTTTCTTATAAATAATTTAAAAACAACAAAAGTAAATTGATTTCATTCATAAACTAAAAATTTAAAAATTTTATAATACCATTTTTCTTATAAAATAAAGTTAAAAAAGTTTTAAAAAAGTTTATAAAAGTGAAGTTAATTTGTTAAAAAAGTTTATAAAAGTGGAGTTAAAATAACTAAAAAAAAGTTTGAAGAAAAAAAACAAATTAAGCAACAAATGAAGGTGATGTCCGCACATTAAGAAATTGTTAAAAAAAATAATAATAGTGAAACGGATTAGCCTAATCTGTTTCGTAATTAAATGAGTGAAACGGATTAGGCTAATCCGTTTGCGAAAATAAACACCACCAAAACGGAGTAGCCATATCCGGTTGTCATTTTTAGAAAAAAATGTATTTTTGAATTGCATATAAAGGAATGAATTGCACCATTTTTACACAAAACCGGGAATTCACCCTAAATCAAGAGTGAAGTGGTAGACCCGATGATAAACTTCAGTCTTAACTTTATAAACTATGGGGGTTCTAGTGACACTAGCTTACGGTGCCACTAGTGGTGCCACTGGCATTTTGTTTGCAAAATTAATTGACAGTTCCTACCTCCCTAACCCACCCCCTAAACCTCCACCCCAATCCCCGCCCCTGCACCCAACCCCGCCGTGTTGCATAATAGCCACACATTTTGTGGGGGGCTTACGGCGGGGTTGGGGTGGGAGTGCAGGGGCGGGGTTGGGGTGGGGGTTTAGGGGGTGGGTTAGGGGGTAGGATCCGTTAATTTTGCGAACGGAACAACGGAGGTGTCCCAAAATGCCAGTGGCACCGTACTCCAGTGTCACTAGAACCTCACTGCTTTATAAATTCAATCATTTTTTACTTTTGATTCATAATAAAAAAATTAAATTGTTTAATTTTTAAATTATATTATACATATATTCAGCTTCAAATATTTAAAAGTTTATAAATAATTTAATTTCTAAATAGTTTTAAATGAATATTTAGAAAAATGGCGTGAAATCTTTAAAAAAAAGTTTATAATGTCCATTACGCATTACGATGTTTACTAGAGTTATTTTCAAATTATTTATATGAAAATTAGTGTGAAGTTTAAAAAATTATATATTTAAAAATTACATCAAAAGATATATAAATCTAGATATGATATGACTATATTATTTTATCGTATTAGCAACAAATATAGGCGTATAAAGTGAATAAAATATGACCTTGAATAATGAATGAGAAGATAGTTTTTAGATGGATGAAGTAGTTTAGCTTCAATTATATAAATTTTTTTTGAAGTAATTATACAACTATTTTACCAAAAAATTTAAAAAAATATTGAAATCTAGAGCTGTTAAGGAATCATTAATGCCCCCACACGGTGAAGTGGCAAGCTCATAAATAGTTTCCAATGTGTATGTAGAGATAGATGCTCTGAAACAAATATGTAAAAACTAGCATTTTACCCGTGCCATGCACGGGTCAGAACGAAATAGTTTGTGATTATATAATGTGAGAAATTAAACTTAGTTGACTTTTTATAGGGCATTTCATATAAACATCAAATACAAATCATTTAGGTTTACTTAATTTCTACAAAACTATAATTCTTTCCTACATAAATTTAAAAAACTTATATAAAAACATTAGTGTTTTTATGAATTATCTCCCCAACATTAATTTTAAAAACTTGAATTACTGGTCTTGATTCTATGATTCAAAAAGAACATCATTTTTCTCCACCATTGATTACAAAAGACATAATTTTTCTCCCCCAAAGTGGCTAATGCCGACACGTCAATCCATACACCTCTAATACAATTTAGAACTTGAGAATAATCAAACCTAAGTGACTTCCATCAAGCTCTTAGGGGTGGCTTTCATACCGTCAAAGTCAAGGGAGAAACTCAACTTGTGTTTAAATGAGGTGTCTAACTGTCTATCATGTAAATTTGAGTATTTTTTTATAGAGTAAATTCTATAATTGGTCCTTTATAATAGGGAGTTTCCCTATATAGTCCTCTATTATCAAATATTACCCAAGTAGTCCTTTTTTTATGGGTATCTTTCCACAAATAGTCTTTTTTTTGATCTTCTATCATGTTTGTGTTAATTTGAGAGCTAAAAGTGTAATTTCACAATGATAATATATCTTTTTTGTCATACACAATTCCAAAAGCTGTTCCGTTTGCGTCGTTTGTAAATTACAGTCGCTTTTTACGACAATTATAGTCTACAAATGTGATCTTTCGTCAAAATCCTAGCCCACAATCATAGTCATTATTTTTGTGTTATCCGTTTACCAATATCAGAACACGTCACTAAACATAATGTTGACGTCAAATTATACTTTTAGCCTTTAAATTAACACCAACACGGCAGAAGATCAAAAAAAGGGCCATTTGTGGAAAGGTACCCTTAAAAAAAAGACTAGGGGTAATATTTGATAATAGAGGACTAAATATGAAAACCCTCCTGTTATAAAGGACCAATTATGGAATTTACTCTTTTTTATATGACAAAGTCTTGCCTTATACTTAAATTCATAGAGTACTTACTTTATGAACCTTAATGCACTCACAACATAAAGAAATGAACTTCTTGTAAAAAAAAGAAAAATTTACTTGTTAGTCCATAATATTTGTGAAAAGATTCACGTTACACATGACCGCAAAAGCATTACTCCAACATGTATTTAAATCCAAGATTCACGTTACACATGACTGCAAAAGCATAAGTCCAACATGTATTTAAATCCAATAACCATACTCTTTGTCACGGAATGTGTTAAGGAGCCATAATAGGACTTCTACGAATCATAATATATTGTTATATTTGAGCTAAAATAGTTTGTAAAGGCAAGTTTAAATAGCAAATACTGAGCTACCAAGTTCAACCTATTGGTTTGTGACGCTCATGCATGCCTCCAATCCTTCCATTGCTTGAACCGCTGCTACCACA